TACAACATTTCATTCTAAAACTTGTAATATTTGCATTTGCCCATAACACCTAGAGTGGTCCTTTAAAGAATTATGGCAAGAGGTGGGGGTGAAAAAAAAAATGTTGAAGAGCCCAATACTCTTAAAAGCATAATTGATGCTTCTACATATTAATATACCTAAAATAAAAGAAAAAAAAAATCTGTGATCTTGGTACTCCACATGTTGACAACTGTTCAGTGTAATAGTTGTTATGCATTTATTTCACGTTCCACTTTTTGGAGACTTGGATGCTGTCTAATCTGTAGACAGTTCTCTATATTGCGGCAGGAGATTGTATTTTTGAAGTCTGAGATTTGTAAATTATCTGGTAAACAAACTCAGGCTGGAACTGCTGCAAAGCCACTGCCGCAGAGACGTACAGGGAATGGCAGATGGATTACTGTAGGATCTGGTAGACTTAGAGTTGGCATATTACATATTGCACAGTCTGTTGCTCTACGTAATTCATTTTCTGCACTTTCAGAGTGTAATGGTGTTATGGAGACAGGCTCAGGTACTGAGGGTAGTGGTGTTGTGGAGACAGGCTCAGGCACTGAGGGTAGTGGTGTTGTGGAGACAGGCTCAGGCACTGAGGGTAGTGGTGTTGTGGAGACAGGCTCAGGCACTGAGGGTAGTGGTGTTGTGGAGACAGGCTTGGAGACTATGGTGAGGCCTAATAGAAAGCAGTTGTTGTTGTTGTGGGATTCTATCATAAGAGTTGTGGAGATGGACAATGGTGGTCTTGTGAGATGTCTTCCCGGAGCTACTGCTCACAGAGACAGGAAACGTATGTGTAATATTGTTAAGCGAACAAAGCTGAAGGGGGAATTGGATGTACTTGTCCATCTATGGACAAATGACTTGACTTGCAATGAGGTTTCAGAGGTAAAGGAAGTTTTTAGTGTTTTTGCCAATGATATACGGCAGGTTGCTTCCACACTGTCATTCTCTGAAGTTCTGCCTGTGCATAACACTCAGAATGACAGGCGGATGCGTATTAGGGACGTTAACTTGTGGCTTGGTGAATTGTGTCGGGAGCAAGGATTTGGCTTTATTTCTCATGGTAGCTCTGTTTGTAATGGAAATAAACTGTACAAAAAAGATGGTTTGCATCTTTCTCAAAAGGGAACAAATGTTATCAGTGAGCAGTTCAGAGGTTTTGCTAGGATGTATTTAAACTAGGAGGGGAGGAAGGGGTGCAAAAGGCTGATACAACATCAATCCAATTGCCCCCCCCCCAAAAAAAAAACATGGACAGAAGGTGCCGGTAGCAAGCATGTTAAAAAATTATAAGCTTATAGTCATGTCTACAAATGCTCGCAGTTTAGGGAATAAGATCCATGAACTTGCGGCAATAATGGCAACTGATAATGTAGATTTAGTCGCTGTTACTGAGACATGGTATAATGAGAAAAATGACTGGGACATAGCAATACCAGGGTACTCTTTATATAGAAAAGACAGGGAATGCAAGAAAGGGGGAGGGGTGGCCCTGTATGTGAAGGATAGAAGGATAGCATAGAATTTAGCCTAATAAAAGTTAGTGAGGCGAACATAGTCCGTTTGGGTTACGTTAGAATTTGGTAATCACACAGTAACTTGTGTAGGTGTGATTTATAGGCCTCCAGGACAAATTGAAGAGTTAGATAATCTACTAGTTGAAAAAATAGCTAAAATGGCAATAAAGGGGGAAGTTTTCATTATAGATGACTTTAATCTTCCTGATGTGAATTGGAAAACCAAATTAACAGCTTGTGCCAGAAGCACGCATATTCTAAACTCCCTACTGGGATTGTCTCTAAAACAAGTCGTTGAGGAGCCAACTCGTAAGGAGGTCATACTAGATTTAGTGTTAACAAATGGAGATTTGGTATCACGTATTACTGTAGGTGAAAGTTTAGGATCCAGTGATCATTAGTCAGTTTGGTTTATTATAAGAACAGTGACTGAGTCACACCACACAAAAACAAAAGTTTTCGACTTTAGAAAAACAGACTTTTCTAAAATTAGAATATGTGTAAAGGAGTCATTATCAGACTGGAGCAATTTAAATGGAGTCCAAGAGAAATTGGATTATTTAAAAGTTGCACTGCTGAGGGCAACAGAAAATTGTATTAGGCTTGTCAGTAAAAGCAACAAATTCAAGAAACCACTGTGGTACTCTGCAAATGTGGCCAAAATAGTAAAAAAACTAAAAGTTAGCATTTAGTAATTATAAAAAAAAAACAGAGTGAGGAAGACAGAATGATCTATAAGATTAGGCAGAAAGAGGCTAGGCAAGTTATAAGAGCTTCCTAATCACACACAGAAGAGAAAATAGCAGTCAGTAAAAAAGGGACAAAACATTTTTTAGATACATAAATGAGAAAAGCAAAAGTAAAACAAGGATTAGTAAGATTAAAAACAAAAGAAGGGGGGGGCGGAGCCTGGCGGTGAGACGGACCAGACGCCATATCTGGCAGCTCCAACAACCACGAGCAGAATCCACCTGAAATCAAAAAAACTAAATGCCATCCAGATACAAAAATACCTGCATTGAACAGGGGAGACCATCCTGCATTGCCCGATGCCCTTCAGATACACCCCGAGGCCAAAGCCAAAAAGTAAAATCCGAATCAAGCCTCTCAGGGTGCAATACAGGTAGCCACACAACCCAAACAGCCCATACTTCCCAAACCCACAACCCAACATGGAACGACAGACCCTGCCACCAAGCAGGACCTGCAGCACATGCAGACCATGCTGCAGGACATACAACGCCTGCTAGCGGCAGACCTACCCGCACTCAAAACGAGCATGCAACAGATCACTGAGAAAGTGGTCACCACAGAGGGAGAAGTAAGGACGATCCAGGGAGAAATATCCACGCTGAAGGAATCATTCCTCCAACTACAACACAACCACCAACACCTGACAATACAACTAGCAGCACAAGAGGATAAAAACAGACGCAATCAAAATCAGAGGCATACCAGCCTCAGTGAGCAAAGAGGACCTGCCGCACTATATGAGAAGACTCACGCAATCATTACTACCTCCTGCAGTGACAAAGAACCTCACCTTTGCAGGAATTTACCACCTGCCCACTCCACCCAGAGCCACTACAACGCTTGATGGAGATGTCATCGTCCGCTGCTTCCTACCCCAAGACAAGGGGCACATCATGAATGCAATCAAAGGCAAAACCCCTCTTAATTTCGAGGAGTCCCAACTGACTTTCTTTCAGGACTTAACTAAAACCACTCTCCAATGGAGAAAATCACTCAGTGAACTCACCAATCAACTGCGCACAGCGGGGATACCATATCACTGGGGAAACCCACGCTCCTTACTCGTCACCCATCAGGGGACCACACAAAACTCACCTCAGGAACTGATGCTCCTGCACTCCTAACAAAGCTAGACCTACCGAACATGCCCGATCAGAACAGCACCCATGCCTGGAACCCAGCAACCTCGGAAACATTCATACCGACTGACCAACTAACTGACTGACACCACAACACTTATTAAACCGTCATGGGCCTAAGTAATGTACTACGACCATACATAACCTGTTGACCACATAGGGTCACACCTCCATTACCGACCCATGACCTAGGCAACAAACCAACAACCAATTAGTATAATTACACTCTTTCAAGACCTCACCCATCACCTAGGATTATATGCTTGCTATAACTAACAAAAATTGTGCCGAGGTTTGACATATGCATTGTTTAATCATTGTTGAAACCTGTTACCTTCTTATATGATACATACGGTAAACCTATTGTGAGTTTACAGCATGCAAAAATAAAGAATTTAAAAAAAATAAAAAAAAAGAAGGAAGGAAGGAAGGTAGAAGAGGATAAAGGTCTAGCTGACTGCCTCAATTAAAAATTTTGTTCAGTATTTACAGATGAAATTGAAGGAAAGGGGCCTCAGTTAGGAAAAAGGACAAATTAGTCATTTGTTACATGTAAGTTTACAGAGGAAGAGGTTCTATTTCAGCTGTCAATGGGACCTGATGGAATACACACAAAGTTATTAAAAGAGCTTAGTGGTGTACTAGCAAAACCATTAACAGATTTATTTAACCAATCATTGTTAACAGGAGTAGTCCCAGAAGATTGGAAGTTAGCGAATGTTGTGCCCATTCACAAGAAATATAGTAGGGAGGAGTTGGGCAACTATAGGCCAGTAAGCCTTACTTCAGTAGTGGGGATAGTAATGGAAACCATGTTAAAGGATCGGATTGTTGAACATCTAAAAACACATGGATTTCAAGATCAGAGTCAACATGGGTTTACTTCAGGGAGATCATGCCAAACTAATCTTATTGATTTTTTTGATTGGGTAACTAAAATAATAGATCCGGGTGGTACAGTAGACAATGCATCTTGGATGCAAAAACCCAAGGGCAGAGTACAGAATATTTGATAGAGTCCTAACCTCAACATCTAATTAAAGGGATTAAGGGGTGATTATTTCTGATGACTTAAAGGTAGGCATAAAATGTAATAGAGCAGCAGGAAATGCTAGCAGAATGCTTGGTTGTATAGGGAGAGGTATTAGCAGTAGAAAGAGGGAGGTGCTCATGCCATTGTACATAACTCTGGTGAGACCTCACTTATTATTGTATGCAGTACTGGAGAACGTATCTCCAGAAGGACATTGATAATTTAGAGAGAGTTCAGAGAAGGGCTACTAAACTGGTTCATGGATTGCAGGATAAAACTTACAAGAAAAGGTTAAATTAATTTTACATTGTGGCAAAACCAACCTCGCCACTGTACACTGGAGAAGCCTGGTTGCTCGCCTGCTCCCTTTAGACTATGGTCCTGCATTTTAAACTTTTATTTTAGCAGCAGAAAGGTTTATTCGTGCCTTTCTGGGGACTGTTAAAGCCATGCTACCCCAGATAGCTATGCCATATACTGCCCAGCCGTATACTGAAAGACTGTATGAAAGACTTTGGCTCCATGGCGATTGAACTGTATGTATGTGATCTGAGCGCCATTCGGTAGTAATGTGCACTCAGATCTAAGCTATCTGGGGATATGTAGAATGTCTATGTTTTATGGAATAAATGTAACTGTATGTAATTTTATGTCTTTTATTGTCCTTTGTCTGCCATGTGGTTAATGGAGTTTTGCCTCTGTCCTTGGAGATAATTTGATTACTTCACAATTATCTCCAGGACAGAGAGGAGGGATTGTGATGTAATTGTGGGTGTGTTTTACGGTTCCCCTGTAAACGATTGGTTGTACTGTGTCCCACCCTGTGAGATGTCCCCTTGCATGGGGACTTGCATAAAAGCCAGTGTGTGGCCATTACAGAGAGTTCCTGCTTAACCCTCAAAGTGAAGTGTCGTCTCATTATTGGGGGAAGATTTACTGTATGCTGTTAGAGACTGATTGCCAGGAGTGTAAGCCGCTTGGGGGCTTTTCCTGTTCGTCTGCTAGCAGCTATTCGTGTGTCTCCAGTTCGGGAGTTTGGAGTGCTACTTGGTATGCAGTTCGGGAGTTTCGAGTATTCCCTTGGTTGCAGTTCGGGAGTTGGTGAATTCGTGGGTTTGCAGTTCGGGAGATTGGTGCTTGCAGTAGCTGTCTGTGCAGCTGAAAAAGGGGAATATCACCTAAACGGTTTTTAACCTCTTGTGGGCAAAACGGTCCGTTACATACATGTATCGCTTGGAGGAAAGACGAGATGGGGGGATATGATAGAAACATTTAAATACATAAAGGGAATCAACACAGTAAAGGAGGAGACTATATTTAAAAGAATAAAAACTACCACAACAAGAGGACAGTCTTAAATCAGAGGGGCAAAGTTTTAAAAATATCATGAAGTATTACGTTACTGAGAGGGTAGTGGATGCATGGAATAGCCTTCCAGCTGAAGTGGTAGAGGTTAACACAGTAAAGGAGTTTAAGCATGCGTGGGATATGCATAAGGCTATCCAAACTATAAGATAAGGCCAGGGACTAATGAAAGTATTTTAAAAAAAATT